ATTAAAAAAAATCCCTCAGAAATCCACCTATAAAGATCTTTTTGTAGACAGTTAAGAATAATAACAAAAACTCACTCAACTTCATAAATGGGCATTGAAAATATCTAGAATAATTTTAAATATTAATATTATTTGACAGCCTGAACCTTAAATATAGACTTAGGGAATGATCAAAGTAGTAATAAGTTTTTTCTTAACAATAATTTAAGTGAAATTTGTAAAACCGACTATAGTAGTAGAAGCAGTCAACTGAAATGTATTTATTTCACATAAAGAGCCCAGTACTGCAAACACTGTTAATGTAAATTAATCTTTTTCCCATACCGAGGGGGAGGAAAAAAATAATAAAATAAAATCAGAATTACTATGCCAATGGAATTGCCCTGAGATACCCAAAAGATTTATCCCAGCATGTGGTCATTACGAAGCGTACCTGTAAACTATCTGTTTTTCTATATCCTATTAAAAAGCTCCCAGAAGGTTTGGAAAACAGGTTTTTAAAATACTGTGCAGCTGTAGGTGGTTCCTAGAGGTGACTGCTACAGAGCAATACCTTGCTATATTTGCATGTTGCATAAGCAGTAGCTGTTGAAGAAACGCCTATTGCAAAAAGGCCTGCAGAACATTCTGACTCTGGACTCTTCTCTGTGTTGAGTGGGATGAACCCAGGCTCATATTCCCATTGAAATCAGTAGCTAAGTACACTTATGAATATGGTGTTTATGGTTAATAACACTGGTTGGAACAATAGCTAGTAATTAATTTGGGTTGCAGTGGCCATGCATCCTGGCACCCTGCACAGTACAGGCCACAGACCCACTATACATTAATTGTTTCAAGTCTAATATTTGTGCTCAAACAAGAATTTTTGTTTTCAAAACCATTGTCCATATTGTTACCTTTAAAATAAACAAATAAATAGGGTCTGAATATGACCATCTTCAACTTTCACCATTTGTACCTTGGTCAGATGTTTAAAACCCTTTTTGAAGCTTCTGCTTGGATTTTCCTATAGGCTGTGTTCAGATCACCCCTTAACCGTCTGTCTTGTAGTCAGAGCGAATGAACTAGCTTCTAGTGTTACATTGCACAACTCTTGTTACGTGGCTCAACTCTTTGTAGGTAAGGTAAGGTAAAAAAATATTTTGTACATATCTTTAGAAGTTGCATATTTCAGCAGATACTTGACACATAAAACATATTAGAAAGCGATGCCCATGCATAGCATTGTGGATCAAATTTCAAAAATATTTGCAAAGCATTGGTGTATTCAGGCTTCTTGAGCAAGCCCTGCACTGGTGGGTATCTAATCCAAGGACATTATGTGTTCTGCTTTTGTACAAGAACCTAACTGTTCCTGGAGGACAGTCTGCAGGTGTGACATGATTTATTTCCCTGTTTTTCAGTATAGTGCTTGTAATGCTTTAGAGTTTGCATGCCCTTCGCAATGCTGCTATTAAAAAGTTTATAAATAGAAAAGAAAATGTCATAATGTATAGATATTTTTTTTCTAAGCCCCTTCATTCTGTTAACATAATGAATGGCTATTTCACTTCTTTCTAGCTATTTCTTGCTGGGTTTCCTGTATTTCCCCATTTAACACAGAAGCCTCTTAGTAGGAAGATAAAATAGTTCCCTTGAATCCAATTAGCAAGTACCACTATTACACACAGATGTGTGTTGTTTTTGTTTTGTTTTTTTTTTTTTTTTGTAGCTGTGCATAAGCATTTTCAGGAGCATGGATTTCTCACAGACTGTAAAATGCAGTCACTCTTCTTTTTACTATATTATTATCCTAAAAGGTGATAATTAAAATGATTTCAAAGTTCAGATTTAGATAACGTTTTTATTAATTATGGACTGCTTATAATTGCCATATTTTGAAATATCTCATTAACCTTATATTACATAAGCAAATTATCATTATCATTAATAACTCTAAATAGAAGTAATTTTCATAGTCTATACACTGCATATGTCAAACTGTAGAAATCTTTTTTTTTTTTCTTTTACTTTCTGAACTATTCCATCTTTTCAGGCTTAATGTAATTATGCCCTTCTTTCAGAATAAAAAGCAAGCTATTTTGAGCTCTGTCTAGAACAAAAATAGCTGGTAAGTGGCCCTGAACTATACAACAGAATAAGATGAAAAGTTAAAGCACACAAAGTTTGCTGAAAAAAAACATTTTCTGATTAAAATGGGTAAGGAGGAATTACAATTCTTTAATTGTAATACATAACATCAGAGATGAAGAATTACAGTCAATGTGCTAGAATTCTGTAGTAGCTCTCCAGATCAATGTGATCAATACAGATGTTTTCACTCTTTCATTTATGATTAGGAGTATATAAAACTGTTTGTAATTTAGCTATTGCTTATAATGCCAGTAGGAAAAAATCTTTTCTCAGCTGATTTCTAAAAGATGCGTTCAATTCAACAACTTTAAGATCACAGTCAAAACTGTGCCAATGCTTCCCTACCATAACTGGTGTCTGTGGCATACCCATCTCATAGATACATCTTGTGTTCCTACAGTGTAAAAGTTGTATTACAATGAACAAACTATGGAGCTCTTATGTTTCTTTAGGGTGATTCATTTACACCAATGTTGGAAAAGAGAGGGAGGATGAGAATGGTCTGGTGTCCCTTTTGGATCAGGAACTGCCCCAGATGTGGATGCATGTCTTGTCTGTTAGGGAATGTGTATGATAGAATCCCTCTTGGAGCAAAGTGTCTCCAAAATCATGCTTCTTGATTCATGGACAATTCAGGTAGTTTAGGGTACAAAAGAGAAATTAAATAAATTCCATTCCCAGAGCAGTTATTTCTGGGAAAACTGTGAGGTATCTGCATGTAAGGAGTTTGACTGGAGCAGGCTCCAGCAAAAGTTTTTCAGTGCAGTTTTTCTTTCTCACCCTGCCTTACAATCTGCCTAGAACCCCAACAAGCAAGTTAACAGAAGTTGTATTGACTGCTGTGGCCATATGCAATGGCAGTCTTGATCAAGAATCATTCCTTGGGACATCCTCACCAACAGCAGTCATTGTTCCTGTTGTAGGATCCTTACCATCCTTTTATATATATATATATATCTCTAAAAATCTGTGATTTTTTTCCATTTGCTACCTATAAGTTGTTTTAGCATTGATGACTCATTACATGTAACTGAGGAAGATTAAAAACCGAGAATCACCACATTTCCAATCTTTGGTTTCTTTGTTGCTTTTTAATTACATTTGGAATGGAGTTCCAAGGGCTGACGACAGACCATAAACAATATTCATTAAATCTCGACAGTCTTGCATTTAAATGGAAACAGTCCCTTGAGCAACGAAAACCACCAATGCCACCAAATCACAAAGTATCTGCTAGTTATAAGACCACTGGGTACAAAAGTGAGACCCTTGACCAAAAAAAATATCAAAAACTACACAGCAAGGAGGTCATTTGGCAACAAAGAGACAAATCCAAAAGCAATCAGCTTTTTGCAAGAGTGAGAGGAAGAGTTAGAGATGGAAGAAAAAAATGCACAGATTTATAGAGATATAAAGATCCCGCACTCCACAACTGGGTGTGACAGAAATTCAAAGAGTACTCAGGTGGTAGGTGTGGAAGAGGCCAGGATATATTGCCCACATTACTGAATGTCTAAAAGAGATCTATGCATCAGTATGCAAACAAAGATATTTATATTAGAAACTATTTCTAGACTATATATTTGTTTAAGTTTCAGTATTATTTATTCCTGGATGATTATAGAGTACAAAATTCCTGGAGGTTCAAACAGCTATAAATGTGAAACCCTTGCAAATGTTATGCTGAAGTTACAGAAGGTATTCCAAAACTCAGCAGAAATCCCAAATAAGAGGAAGGCCTAACCTATGAGCTCTCAGAAAAATAATAATAATTATTATTATTATATATAGATTAAAAAAAAAAATGAACTCCAATGCATTGTGACCTGTTAAAAATAATAATCATCTCATTGTCAAGCAGAGGAAGAGAATTTACCCAAGCTGAGACATCACCCAAAAGGGAAAAAAAAAAAAAAAAAGACTATGTTTTTCAATATGTTATTATCCTTGTCTTCCTTCCCCACTGACATCCAATTTGTCCTTCATAACTGAAAAGAAGATCCATATTCTAAAAAATAAAAGCAGTACGTCTTTCTCACATGAATAACTTCCGCAGGTGATAAACCTGCAGAACTCATGTTAAAAGAAAGCACTGAAGACTAGAAGATTATACAAACACCAAGGAAGACCAGACAACTCCTTTAAAAATAATAATAATAATAATAATAATAATAATAATAATAATAATAATAATAATAGTAATAATAATATGCTTGCTACTGAAGCTTACAAAATACCCAGAAGAAAAATCCTGTGAACTGAAACAGTTAGAGTATTGCTCTTGGAGCATCCCCCAGCATTTATTCCTATGAACAAAACATTTCACCAGCTGGACCTTTGGTTTGACCTGAGCTCACTGTGCCTATGTCCTTACATGCCCTCATGGAGTTTGGTGCCAGCACTGAGGGTGATTGGTCTCTGCCAGCTGATAGCCACCACCAGAAAAACCTGTGGTTGGTACTGAAAACTCCTGTTTCATCATTATCTTCCCATCCCCTTCCCTCTGTGCTCCCTGTTGTAGTCTTTGATGGGGAAGCAGCCCAATAAGCTACAGCATCTGGTGCAGTCTCATGCAAGCCCTTTTTGAATGAGCAACAGCAGGTTGCTGTGAAGCAACCTTAAGGCTCAGATGCCCATGCAAGCCTAGTTTCCAGCACAATCCTGTGCAGCCTTTGCTGATCACAGCACCTGTGCTAATACCGATAGCTAGTCTAAAATTAGCTCTGATGGGGCTCTATTTCACTGTAAATAGGCCCTTAAAAGGGCTAAAAATCTGCTGTGTGAATCACCCATTTGCAAAGGCAACTCAAAAAAAAAAAAAAAAAAGAGTTAAGACCTTTTTTTTTTTTTAATTTTACCTCAAGGGCACTGTGCAGATAAACACAAACACATTGAAGATGACGGTGTGCAGGCGCTGCAGCAGTAGATGCCAAGCTAATGTCTGCTTCTTCATTTGCTTTACATTGTCTTCTTCTATCACCTTCTTATCTTGAAGCTTTGTGCTACAAACCCACTCATTACTGGATTTGTTTTGATACGTGAACAGAGTACAGACAATATCTATACAAAATAAAACAAAAATATATACAAAAATAAAAGTCAAGCTTCCACAAGATAAGATCCACTGTTTCCACCTCCTGCCAAGACAACCACACTCTGGCTTTGGACATAAATTGAGATTTTTTTTTTAAAGTGGCAGGGGGGAGGAGAGTAGTCACTCCCTTTTTCTTTCTTTTATTGTTTAGTGAGTCCAAATGACACTTGCAAAGATTAGTATGGATGCAAAAAAATCAATTTACTGATGCAAAGACTTCCAAGTTTTTGCTCCAAGACTTAATTCCTATGCATGGGTGAGAATGACAAATAAATATAAGAATCTTTTCAATTATAAATAACAGATAACCAAGCACTGCTTATGGGAAATGTGCTTAGTTGGAATAATAGACAGGTAAAAAGGAAAATAAAATACAAATGCCTCAAGAAATGCTCTTTTCCTTCATTTTCTATCCTGAGCTTAAACCAAAATCTGAATATTAATGTCTTAAAAGAGGAAAAGCAATAGACAAATATGTTATGATAGTTATACCCGTTTGGTGGTTTTTTGTTTGTTTGTTTGTTTGTTTGCACATCAATAACGGTAAGTATGTTACTTCAAATAGCAATCTTTCCATACTAAACAGAATAAGAAAGGTATATAAAATAGCACCTAAAAAATTGCCTAACGTTTCAGGGAGCCTTCCCCTACACAAGCACTGTATTAGAGGCATTTTAACACTGAGATGTTCATACTCCAAAATTCAGTCTTCCTCTCTCCAGTACTGTACCTCCCATTCAGTTTAACTCTATTGTCAAAGCTTCCAGCGTAAAGATAAATCAGCATTTTAAATAAAAAATGATAATACAGGTGGTCAGGTTAACTCCAGCTACAAACCAGGTATTGTAGGGATGCTGCTTCAGCCTGACATGAAGTCTTCATATACACCATTACCAGCACTCTTCACAAAAGGAAAAGGAAGTAGGAAAAATAAAAGAACTTCAACTGGCACTATCAAAAGATTACAGTCTTCCCCCTTCCCACCTTCTTCTCAGAACCAGCAAAAGAGAGGCTGCTGCTCTTGCCTTCACATAGTCCCACTGAGGGCCCTGGGGCTCCAGTTTTTCTGAAAAAGAATAAAAGTGAAACAGCTGAAACAACACCTCAATCTCTGATTTATCAGCTAGAGTTTTCAATAAATTGATTAATGATTTTACTGGGTAAAGTCTTTTAGTAATACTTATCCCTGTCATTACACATATTCATCTGCATGTTTTCATTTCCTACCTTAAATTAGAGACACTCAATTGAATATTCCCTTACATGAAACATATTTTTGCTAACCTTAATGTGATGCATGTTTTACAATTAAGCATTAAAATACAGCTTTTCATCAGAAAACAAAAGATGTTTTTGATAATGGAAAATTGTATGGAAATCATTTACCAAATGCCTCCTCTAGTTTTTTTTTGGTTACAGTTTCCCCCAGAAGTTCCATAAAGGGAGAAAGCAGGGAAAGCAAACAGTAATTAGAAGAGAAAAAAGGTAGGATGATCCTAGACAGCCAATCACAGTTGGAACATACACTCCTTTTGATGACTTTTATTGGCACTTTTGAAGAAATCAATAAAATAATATTGCAAGACATAATCTTGCAATGTGACTAAATTCTCCTGGCATACTATTGATTGAACGTACTGAACATCCACAGAAAATGCTTCATTCATCTTGCATACCAGTATTTGAGGAGTGGTGTCTGCATGAAAACTGTATTTCAAGGCAGAAGCAATGCCAGCTTTACGTTTTAAAGCTATTCTAATCTTTCACATGAAATAGCAATATTATATATAAAACACTTACTATAATATAACACAAAAATAACAAATTCAAGTATTTAAAAAATTAATATATGTTAACAGTAAAATAGACCATGCATCTGTAATTAACCCCGTGTGTGCCAAGTCTAATGTAATCCATAATTATGTCATTGTCAGTTCTAACAAAATGTTATATACATTTTATTTTCTTTTTTTAGAAATATCAAAATGGACCAAAAAAAAGTTCTATTGCATGAATTTGCATTTATACACACAGGAGACATTTGAAATGAAAAGCCATTTAGATCCACAGTGCACTCTTATGACATTTGAGCTGACAAAATTAGCCGATACTCTAAATGAAGGCTGACCCCTGGAGAGGACTGGTCTTTATCTCAGGGTAAAGAGAATCAGGAAAGAAGTGTAAGAGAATCAGGAAACTAGGTCTCATCTTCAGTCTGAAGGAGAACAAGATCACATATCCACCCTTACCTCCTCTCACTTTCTTTTATTACTCTTTCCACCATGGAGAGGTTGTTGTTCCCTCACCTTCAGGCTGCTGGTTCCCAACTTTGCCCTCTCCCACACATCAAGCACAACCTTGGAGGTCTTCTCCTTGTGTGCTCATCAAGCACACAAGCTAGGAGGTCTCTTTTTACCCTCACTCCAGTACATTAGGTACAGCTACTTAATGAAAGAAAATAAGACCACTGCATTTGATATTGCTGCAGGTATTTATGATTAACGACAAATCAAGCTTCCTAGAGTGTTTAGCTGTGAGGTGCTGTGAATCAAGCAAGAGGTGATGGCTGGATGCAGAAGTACACCAGTGCTGCACCTCAGGATTCTTTTTCTAACCCAAATTCATCCAAAAATTCCCTACTAGCATTTTAGTAGCACCTGTTATCATCACGTGCTGTACTTCAGTGTGCAAAATAAAGCATGTTAACATCTGAAAAAATTGGCTGAAACCTTTCCTGTTGAAGATTTGTTTGACCATATGGTACTGCCTTAGGGATAAATTCACTACCAGAGTGCCTTCAGAAATACCCTAAAACTTAATTTTCTGTCATATTTGCCAAGTCACTGAAAAAAAGAACAAGTAACATCTTTTTACAAATATTAGATTATCAACAATAAAAATGCAAATATTCACATATCCTTGATTTACAAGCCAATGACAATTAAGCTGTCTTCTGCCTAAGAAAAATCTGTTTTCCTGCTAATGTCTTCTCTAGCAATCTGTCCTCAAAAAGATTATTATTTGCTTTCTGATGATGGAGTAACTTAATAGTTTCCTTTTCTCCAAAGCTCCAAGTGATAAGACATTTTGTATGGCATGCTGAGAATGTTGTGGAATGACACAGTTGATCTGTTGCCTTTCTACTGGATGGAAAAACTGTGTAGACTGTGGAAATAGTATTTGTGCCTTTGTTGGCCCATCTAAGGTCCCAGTTTTCATGTACTCCTCTTCCAGTCAACATTGCTGATGATGTCTTCTCCTTGAAAGCTCAGTTTATTGGAAGAGCTATTAATTGCTACAATTTCTGTATCTCTTCGTCTCTTCACATGTGAAAACACTTTGTTTCCTGGTGTGCTTTTCAGAATTGAAACACAGTGGGATGAAAACAAACACATTATGAGTACTAAATTGGCTATAGCTTTGTAAGTGCAGAAATGGTAAAATCATTGTGAGATGATTTTCAGGCGATAATGTCTTTCTCTAATTACTTTGTATTGTCAGCCTTCAAACTTGAACTGTCTTGAATTCACATCTCAGTTGATAGAAATAATATATTTTATGCAGTGTGATAACATAGATTCGCTTTTCAGATTCACATGAAATTCTAGCTGTTTTTATTATAATTCATCATAGTACATTTGTTTTACATAGTACTGTTTTATAGGAAAAAAAATTGAAAAACTCATGGCCCCTCTCTGATATGTTATTTCATATCAGAGTGTGTATCAGAGTGTGATGGGAAGGTGTGTAAAAATACACACCTTCCCGTCACAAAACAAAACAGAATTAACATTAGAAAAATTGATCTGCCTAAAACTATAGCGCATTGTGCTAAGGTAGATGGTTTGTTAAGGAGTGTTCAATTTATTTCTCAACTCTGAGCCTCTGTGGATCTGATCCGCTCCCTAAATGCTCACAGAACCTTCCAGAATCAATCCCTGATTACAAACTTTACTGTTACCATTACTATTACCTTACTATTACCATGCTTGTAGAAACATTCGCTGTAAATTTAACCATAACATCATACATTTTTGTTGAGCCTACACAACCAGGTTAAAAGTACAGTAAATCCAGATTAATCTTTTTACTGCTGCAGCTTTGTACTTGGTATGCCTCCTGGAGGCTGAAAATATTATTAGCTGCAGCTGGAACCAAAGTCACAATGTTGTCCCTCGCACACCCATGACTGTTGGGCTGGTAGGAATACCATTCTCATTACATCTGAACACAGATATATGAAATATTAGTAGAAGCATACTACAGTGTTAGCATAATGTAATCTGAAGACTTCTCTGAGAGCCTTCTGCTCTTCTCAAAAGCTTTACAATAATAACACAATCATAGGTCGTAGCATGTTCCCAATTCTTTTTAATAACCTGGTAAAACACCAGAATACAATGAAATCAATGTAGAGCTGTTTGTTGACAGCAAGTACCTTCTGACTTTCTAGACTTAAATAAAAGTAAAAATTGAATTTCTGTATTGTACATGGCCATAAAAAATAATTATGAATTCTGACTCTTCACTTTCAAAGTGGACACGATCCAAACTAACTTGTTGCATAGGGCCAAGTGAAGAGCCTCTGTGCCTCCAGTGTGTATCTTTTCTCTGCAGCTGAAATAAAATGTAAGCACATATTTACAGACTTTTTTTATTAGTTGTTTACTACACTTTATGGTATCAACATTTTTGTGCACGCAATACATTGCTAGATTGTGTATTGAACTTTTAGTCTAGGAAAGAAATTCACAGCAGAAGAAGTGAAGACTTTCCGCAATTAACTTCCAAGGCACTAATGAGTGTCTTCGGGTGCAAATACTGTAAAGGACCTGAATGAGGGCCACCTGACATGATACAGAACTAGTGTTTTTGAAGCTGGTCCTCAAGAGCAAACAGCACAGGTGTATTTGGAGGAAACTATTCAAATGATAGGCAGGGCAGGGGAAAAGAAATCAAAGAAAATATTCTGTGCTCCTGTTACATAGTTGTGTTGGTTGTGTCTTACTCTTCCATGCCATGCATGCTTTCACTAATAATTTTCTTCATGTATCACAATTGCACTCAATAGATCCAAGCGTTCTAAAGGAATGGAATATAAAATGCAAAGATGAAAACTATGCCATTGAGGGTGGAAAATGGGATTGAGGTTTTTCTTTTTTCCTCCTTGGAAAAATGGATGATGCTGCAGTATGGTGATGTATTCTATTTGTTAAAGTTTTTCTTTTGGCTTGGTTTGGTTTGATTTCCTTCATATTCCCTTCCCTTGGATGTGATGCTAAAGTTTTTCACCTCCAATTTTTATGTGGCAAGGACCCACACTGGAGCTGTCAGTCTGCGAGTTACAGTTTGAATTTTCACCAGTCCTGCATAGAGGTGAATGAAAATCTCTGTTCCTAAGAATGAATGTACCTTTTCTATAAGGTTTGAGCTTTTGTTTACTTCCCTGGCAGCAATCAAAGTTTCTCTGTTTATACTGTTAAGAATATGATTCTGCTTTTGGGCATTGCTATCTCCAATCTCTATTAAATAGATCCAAATGTGAGGCCTTTCCCTAAGGAAAAAACAGAATAGTATCTTACTTACGCTAATCTCCCCACTTCCAGTTTGTTTCAGAAACAGGGGCTACCACTTCTTAGGAAATATTGTTAAAGCTTGGTACTTTTTTGTTGTTGTTGTTGTTGTTGTTTTGTTTTTTTGTTTTTTTTCTTTACACCTCATGACCTGAATTGCAGTTCTCTGTCATGATCTCTTAATTTCATCCAGTCTGGTACAGTTGGTACTTTCAACCAACACTTTCTCTACCTTGTTAATTTGTCATCTCTGCTAACAGTTGTGTCTTTGGTAGCGGTCTTAGACTGAAAAGCAAACGCAGTGACAGTCTTCTTGATGGGCAGAAAACATCCTATGACATCTTGATCAACTACCAGAGCGTTTAAACACTATTTATAATATGGAACATGGTCTGTTTGTGAATAGACTCTTTGATTTACAGTCTCATAAATATTAGGAGGGAATCTTATAAAGACCATGAGCTAGTGAAAGAGTAATTCTGCTGAAACATAGAGCATTTTCCCTTTGACTTGTGCATCTTTTCTTTTTTTCTTTTTATTTTTTCATATAAAAATTCTCAGAGAAAGTGGATAATTTATTTTTAAGTGACCCTAATTCAAGGTTATGCCAATAAGATAACTGTCTTTCACTTTGATTTAAATGTTCCAGACTTTCCTTTACGCAAATACTATGTTGGCTTCATTTCCTTTATAAGTAATCTTGTTCCCAGCATTACCAGCACACTGGCTCACAAGTTGGTTCACAAGCAGGTAAGTGGGAGCTTACTAAATCTATGTAAAACTCAGGAAGCCTGCTTGGATAAACTAATGAAAGATGCAATATTATTCATGTAATGAAGTTCTATATTTGTAATGATCCCTAACATTGTTCATTTTGCATTATTCTCTAACATAAAATTTCAGAAGTTTTTTGCTTTTTGTTTTTTTCCTCTTTTGTGAAGCTTGAGTAAGATTTTCCTCTTTACAACTTGAGGTTAAGCTTAAGTATGAAAGCTTCCACTGATATGTTTCTTATCTTCTGGATACTGCTTTTCCCCAATTCAAGTCATTTTTTTCACTGCATCAGCCAGAAGTCACACATCTCTTTCTAACTTTCCATCAGTGAGTCTTCTTGGATCTGGACTGGAAATGATGCAAGGAGTGCTACTCCTACCAGTTACAGCTTTCCACCATTCACTCTGCTACAGCAAGACCAAATTCTGTTTTCACTTAGTCTCGTGCAGGTATTGAGCAATTCCATTGCATATCTGATACTATTACAGATGTTCAGCAGTGTAATTGACAGAAGACTGAACTTCAGTGCACCCTGATTGCCAAAACTCTTAGATATTTAACCCTGTGTTAGTCTGCAGCACACAGCTGAGGAAGGCAGAGCATAGCATAAGTTTGTCTTTGAAGGAGCTTTGAAGGAAAACCTGGGCAGAGTAAATGCCTATATTTAACATACATTATTGCAGATACCCGAGTTAACAGTTATTCTTCTACTATCCTTACTATCCTTGTTACTTTTTTTTTTTTTTTAGACTATAAGCAGAATCCAAATGACACCACACATACACACATACATACACTTAGTTCTGTGATACCTGCGCAGAAATGGAAATACTTGTTTACGATACGACAGCACCATTCCCACGGAGCTCCAGATCCTAATGCATGGAAAAGACAAGCAAGAATGACCTAATCTGGCATGTCTTTCTAAACTTCTCACACCTTTCCAGAAGTGGGTTCAGATAACAGCACTCCTTTTTCAATGAGACTTTGGCTACCTCTGCCTGTAGGAGAAGTTGCATCAGCACTGGATGCCAACACACAGTCAGAGTGAAGCTTCTTGTGGCCAAATTTTGTGGACTTGCAGAACTGGGGTTTGACTCTCCCCTTATTTGTTTTCTTATCCATTACTTCTCCTTCCCAAACAGACAAGCATGAAGACAGCTCTTAAAAGCAGCATCTCAAAGAGATGTTTTCTTCACCCTGTACCCATCATATAGGTTTCCCAGAGAAAGCAATCACCTGTTGAATTAATTTTTAATCACTGTCTTTTAATATTTTTTTTTTAGCATAAAGAGATGTAAGTATATTAGTTCTGTGGCAAGATAAAAAGCACAAAAGTATTTTTAAGTAGCTCGCAGGAAAGAAGCTCTTGTTTCTTTTGTGCATTTTGTCTCAATAAGACATATATAGGTTTACAAGACAGTGTGCTTAAACAGGAGTGAATTCAGTGTAAATTCACACTCTTGTATTCTGTCATTTAAAAATACAAAATATTTTTCTAGTAGTTCCATCTGTTTTAATCATTGTTTTATTTGCAACTACTGGAGCATTCACAGACAGAGAAAAAGATGGATGGCTCCTAAAAACCACCTTGAAGACCAGGTTTCCGTAGAGCAGAAACATAGAACTTTTCTTTCAAGAAATGGTTAATGCTTTGTTGTACAGGAGATTTCCTTCATGCTTGTTGATAACAACATCTCTGTGATGGCACTATTACTGACAAACTTAATGATTTACTGGAAAGAGTGAGAACAGAGCAGTGGCCTCAGAAATGTCACTTGAAGGCCTCTTGATTGATCTTTACAATGATCCCAGAGAACTATTTGTCCTGTATTCAAAATCACTATTATTTTTCATTCCTTGTAGAAAGTTACAGTTATACATAGACTTAAAATTCATTTATTCTGGAAGTAAATAAGAAATAATAGTGTAATAAAAGCAGTCTGTAAAGTCTGAAGCACAGTAACTAATGCTTCAAAAAGAAACATGATTCAACCTACTACAATCTTAACAAAGAAACATATATTCAGCTGATGTAAATAATTGTAACTTGTCACCAAGTCATACCAGTGGATTGAGACTGATGCACTAGAGTGAAGGATGTAACCCAATGGTACAAGTGCATTATTTCCAAAGCAATTACCTGCACCAGCAGCATTAGGGTTTTAGTTTTTTTTCATAGGTAGATTTTGTTGTTACAAATTACAATAGACATATTTTTTCTTTCTTTTAAAGAAAACAATTTTAAAACAATTTAAAACAATTTTTAAGTTAACAGTTCTTAAAAGGAATAGTAGCTCCTTGGAGAGTGGGACTCTATGTGTTTCAAAAAAAATAAACTCTCATGATTACATCTTCTGTCCAGCTACAAGGTGGGGAAACCTTCACTGAATTTCATTCGCTTCTCTTCTAGCTGTGTACTAAATGACTTGTAAATGTTCCCCTCCCAGCACAGCATGTTGTGTGCCCTGATGAGAAGGCCCCTCAAAAGCGCGAGTACTGGACAACAAAACAAAACCAGTCACTAGTGTATTCATGCATTTACAACCTTGATTTTGTTCAAGTTTTACTTTTTCTTTCATTTGATTGCTCATTCTCAATAAATTGCCCATACATTTGATAGGAGGAGGGAGGGTTATTTCTGCTAATGACTTTATGGGCATTCTGTCATTATTGCCATCTCATGGCAAGGAAAATATTTTTGTATAACCTACAACTTTTGTGTTTTGTTTTTAATTCTAGAATTCTAGATACTTGAGATAACAGCATTGCTTACAGTCTCAGCAATTGTATGTGAAAAATTATAGTGCCTAAAGGAGTTAATCAATTAGGAAACATTTCATGACTTTTCAGCTTTAATTTATTTTTCTCACTGTCATTTTAATGGTCTTTCTCATTTCCCTCATAAATATACTAAATAATTCCTTTTTTTTCTCTGCTAGTGCAAAGATTTTAAACATATTGAGAACTCAGTCCATCTCTTCTTAATCATTTTTATTTTTCTTGTTTACAACATCTTTGCAGGGTTTGCATAATATTTTGAATGAAGCTGCATACATTGTATGAAGAGAAATAGTCTTGGCCAACATAGTTTCTGCATAACCTAGATGTGTTTTTCATTGTTGACTGCAAAGTTGTGTCATATCATATATACCTAAGCTTAACTATGAATGAGGAAATCTGTGTTTCATGAAGTGACATTTCTCCTTATTCAGAAAAAAAACATGTAGCTGTATTATTTCAAAGCTGATCTTATGGGGAAAAGGAAAAGATGTATCAGTAGGAATTAAACCTGTCTTTTAGATTTTCTTTATCTGTATTCTTTGCAAGGCCTTCAGTCTGTCCACTTTCTGATCCAGTCAGAAAATTCCTTTGTACAATTTTGAAAGTCAGGAAAATACAAATTATATAGATTTCTGTTCAGCATATATGTCTATATACGACATTTGAAATTCCAACAAGAGTGATTTGCAGCCTAATTTCACTCTAGAAATTCTGCTTAATGGCAAGCCATAGTTATAACTGTATAAGAAACATTTTGCTAGTAATTAGTCCAGTTAGCATACGTGTGGCTTTAGGTACAACATTATTTTTTCTGTATTTAGTTTGCATGTGTGTACATTTCTCTTTTATTTTATCATTGCTGTCTCTTATGTCTATCAGTGTAAAGTTATTTCTATGAAAGAACTCGACATTGAAATCATATGGAACATACTCATTATTCTGATGCAGTAAACCTCCAAGACACATATATAACAATTATCTAGGTCTGATGCCAGTTAATGAAAATGTAGTTAGGCTACATAATGTTATATAGCGTCCTGGGAAGATGTGAGAAAGCAGACTAGCTGTAATCAGCCATTAATATCTATTTTGTTGAACACTAGAGGGAGATCAAAGCAAAAGAATAAATGATCTAATAGCCCATGGTTGCTAATTGGACTTGTTCATAAAATTTCAATTGATGACAAGATGAAATACCAGATATCATCTTAATTTTTCACTGTAGTTTTCTCATGTCCTTATTTAATATTGTTTTAACTATAATCTAAAACATTCTAGTAAATTTTTATTATTTTTTTTTACAAAAAACAAGACTGCCTATATCAATATCCCAATTAATACATTCTGTATAAAATAAATTTTTCATATGAGACATATACTTCAATGAGAAGATTCATTTTAGCAGCTGCAAGATGAAACATAAGCACACAGTCCATTTGTCTCTACTGCTCTCTGAACACACAGGATTTTGTTCTTGTATGTTCCTGCAGCAGCAAGCAGGGAAATGTTATTTTTCTACCTTTGTCAGAGAGAGTTCTTCCTGTCAGACCTAAAGATAAGCAACTAAGTCTGCTCACATTCAGAACAGAATGGAAACTGGTGCTGTCACTCTTTTGCAATCATAACTTCTGTTTTGTTTAGTGTTTGCTGAACAAAGTTTGTAACATAAAATGTCTTTTAAAATGCAGGTATTTATTAGTTTTGTGTAAAAGAAAGTTACCAAATGCACATTTTTCTACTCTCCCAGTTACTGCTGGGAAATACGAAGACTTTCCATATGATTCCCAAAGGAAGGGCCCGTAGGGCGTTGAATAATTTCCTTAAAGGAAGGATCTGGTTTATCAGGCTCTAGCAGAGGAGAAACTCTGGCATCTGAGCTTCAAAACCAATAAACTATTCATGCTGTAGCCTACGCAAAACCTGTTATGCTGCTAGGAATGCCTGAGCTAGATGCAGACAGCAAGGTGTTGGGACTGGTTATTGGAAAAAAAAAAAGAGTTCACAGAGGGTTAGGTCACCTGAGTACTGTCACTGAGTACCACACTCCTACTGCTCCACTTCCTACACATGGTAATACACGTGTAAACACACCAAGAAATGCTATTGTTATGTAGGGAAGAAAAGGTTTGTCTAGGCTCGAGGGAGATGACAGAAGTGAGAGGCAGGAGCAGAGAAACATGGAGGTGGGAGGGGAGAGGTGGAACTCGGCCTTTCATCACAGCAAGCTGCTATAGTGGCTCAGGGCTTGCTGTGAAACCATAACCACCCAGTGTCACCAGTCATCTCTCTTCCATACAGGAAAAAAAAAATGTTCCATGTTTTGTTCACAGCTCAGTTCAAAAAGAACAATATTTATCCATTATTAATAACAAAACTGTGAAGCCATCCACGAGCTTCTTGTTCACAGTGTTCCTTATATGTGACATCTGGGAGAGAAAAGTTTTCCTCTGCTGCTGCACCACAGCACCAACACATCACACATTCTCTGTAGGTTTGGCAGCTTGTGTAGGCCAGACACTCAGGAAGAACTGTGCTGTCATTAAAGTTAATCAGCAGTTTCTCAGATGTTTCCTGCACACCTTGGGCCTGTCCAATAAATACTGAGGATGTTTCACATATGATCTATTGCTGTTTCATCAAGCAGACATAGGGTCGATTTTTTGTTTGTTTGTTATTGTTGTTTTGTTTTTGTTTTTATGCAGGCTATGCTGAGATACTTTAATCATGGTCACCTAGAAGTCAGTAAAATACTTTAAATGCTTTATAGCAACCAGTAACTCTATCTTCAGCTATGGCCAGAAATCTATTTGACCATATATTAATAGAATCATTAAGGTTGGAAAAGACCTCCAAGATCATCTGGTCCAAATAGAGCAGAGCCTTTAGGAATCAGCAAGCATAATTCCTCTGGCACATTTACTTTAAACATCTTTAAACATATATAAAGAACTATGCAATGTCCTTTATTGCAAAAGGAAAGACAGAATCAGACTCTGGGTGCTGTTCTTATTCACTTCTTGTTCAGGGCTAAGCACACCTGGTAGAAAAAAGGAAACACCCATTAGAAAGTGCAGGGAACAGCCTGTCCTCATAGCTTACCTTCTGCTAATAGGCACCATCCCCTCCATCACCATGAAAGCCATTGCTTACCTAATGAAAGAAACAAAACAAAACAAAACAAAAAGTTGTTCTTTCATTTGCTTTAAACACTAAATCTCCACATCAACATTTTTAAGTGGCATGTTTCCATCTTAAATGCATTGTAGACATGGAAAAGCTAGAAACAAGCAAAAAGGTAGATATTTGTGGATTTTTTTCAAATTTATTTTGATATAAAGTTGTAATGGCTTGAATTGAAGTCACTGAAAATGTATATGACTCCCATCCATGGACAATCACATGACTTGTACTGTCATTTTCAGAAAAAGAAAGCAACACCAGGCAGCGTAACCAGCCACACACTCCTTGTCCAACCATGTCCACAAGGGATTGGTGTTCCACTATGACCAAGTTCTAGAAGGGGAACCATGCTGAACAGATTTCCAGGTGCCCTGATGCCCAAGGTATTTTTACTTAAGTGAATGAGAGTCTAAACACCAGACAGCTTTCAGTATGAATTGCTTGAGATAAAGACATTGTTAGACAGTTGTTAACACCTTAAAGATTTTATTTTTTTTTTTATTAAGAAAAGATCATGGTATTTTAAATGTGTGTAGGGCGGGGGGGGCGGATAAGTATCTCTGTATATTCTGAATGAATTGTGAGGTATACTTTATGTACTGTGTCTGAAACACGCCACACTTATTCTTCTACATTCCTAATACATGACTTAAGGAAAAAAAATGTCAAAACATAGAATCATGGGGAATTAATATGTCTCAAGATTCTAGAAACAAATAATTGCATCTACATAATTGGCCAGTTATATAAGCTGCATTGTGGAGTTCAAAAGCTGGAGAATACTCAATACCCTTTCAATTTTCAGTTACCACCATCTGTTTAGAAAGCAAATACAGATGGGGTCCAATAGGGAGAGCTATGGTTTTCTAGTAACAAATGAATAGAGAGTAAAGAAACATGTGAAATGATCCAGTATTTAAAGCATGCAATATCTTCTCATTATAGTTCACAGCTGAAACTATGATTATTGTTATTCTGCTGACCAGACCAGTTTATTTAACATGTTGAGATTGAAGGACTTGCATTATTTATTTATTCAATGAATAACTGTTTATACAATCAAAACAAAAATCAAAATCAACTGCAAAGCTGGTTACTCCCAGACCTTTCAGGTGCTAAATCACTGCATTTCTACGGCACAGAAAATTTAATTTTGTTGTCAATAGGCACTGGGCACACAGAAAAGAATTATGCATTTTGCCCAAGGCTAATCCTGTACAGTGCTGAGACTGCCCAACATCCACTGTAGCTTTCTAAGCATTGTCATAAGCTGAAGTACTGGCACTGGCTCCTAGCTGTGCAATATATACAGTGCAAACATGCTTTGCAAGTGTCGGAGTGTTGTAAAGAGCTAAACCATAATCACAGTGAATAAATACAATTGACAGGTAATCCAAACTATTGGTTTCTACAATACTGTCAGTAAGTTTTCCAGTCCTGGCTTCTAGTCCTCCAGTTCCCTGCTTCATGATTCTTTAGGTAACTACAAACTAAATAAAAATTGCTGGTAATATTACAGATGTACGGATTTTAGTAATTTCACTATTGTTGCCAGCTCATTGACCATTACCCTAGCTCAGAAGACTGCCACTTTCTAGATAAAAAATGTTTCAGACTATCCAACATGACTGAGCTATTGAATTCTCCCTCCAGGACTCAATTTAAGCATGTGAAGAAAAGGCTGGAGGTTTTTGTTGGTTTTGTGATACTTATCATTCAATTTGCAAATGTGTTTCAAACTTAAAGAGCCTTTTATATATTTATTGCTTTTTATTCTTTAATGTTTTTTGCTACAGTCAGGGAAAAATATTATTAGATTTTGAATGACCTCGAGAAAGGGAAAATCCACATAGTTCAGCCACTGATGGGGAAAAAAGATTATCGTTAAGTATAGCACTTTTATTCTTAAATTGCTGTGTCCTATTTTTAACAATTCTGACACATAAGCACTGGCTTTGAAAGGTTGATTCTGCAGATACCTGCAAAAGATAAACCTGAGCACTACCAGAGACTGATGAATGTGAATGAAATGAACCCTCTTTCTAGACAATACAATGATGTGGCAAAATGACAAGGCATTGACAGTGGAGAGGAAGTCTGTTGCATCCAAGCTGTCTCTGGTAGTGCAACCAACACAGGAAGGTGAACTATTTTCACCTGATGACCATTCATAGTTTGGTGTGAAATGACCTTGGCTCTAATTCCAGTTGCCTGTAGAAATACATATCCAAACACCAAGATATTCCTGTCTCTTCCTTTTTTGTTAGCTTTTACAACACTCTGAGGTTACCAATCATGTTCACAATAGCTTTACGTCCCGTATGTACTCTGTCTATCCCAAGCTGTTCAGAAGTGTTAAACTACTTCACACACTGTCCAGTAGATTTGTAGAGGCAAATGAATCCCATAAATGTGAGACTTACTACAGAGGTATGATCAAAATACGCATTGTGTAGATCAAGCACTGGATTTACTATCCATGTACAACACTGTATATACATAGATATTTCTGTCTGGGAAGTCTCAGACAGAAATAGTGTTACTATTTACTGCACTGAAGCATCAGACCAGGAGATAATTGGTAACATCCTTCAGGGAGTTCTAATAAAATAGTTTAAAACTATTAGTTTAAAACTATTAGTTTAAACTAATAGTTTAAAACTATTAATAGTTTAAACTGTTTAAAATAAAAACAGTTTATTTTTCTGGTTTTCTATTAATTGCCTGAAAACAACGTTAAGTTGTTTGTAACGTAATCATTCAGTTTGCTGTAACTGCTCACAAGCCTTTACAAGATCTCTTCGCTAACCAACTGCTGCACTCAACCTCGAGTTAATGTAAAACTAGCAATCTTTATATTTGTAAAAAGCAGCAAATATAATGTATCATGTCATTCCTAATGTCTTATTGTTTAAGGAGCCATAATGATTATCAGGCAGGTGATTTCAGCAATATGATGTACCAGTAAAGCATCACTGAAAAAGTGTTCTGAGAGAATCAGGGCGTAACAAAGGTATTTTTCTAACTGATTTTTCCTGTTAAAATCCCACTGAAGTGAGACTGTGTTTGGAGTGTCCATTATGACTTTCTATTAAGAGTGAAAACTAAGTTGTTAAACAAATTTCTATATTAGAAAACATAAAACTTAACTAGGACAGTAGCTCTAGCTGAGAATAGGAAAACATATCAATGCAGAGACATTGCTGAGTCTCTTGCACATGCTGACAGATGCTGACCTAATTGTCTTTGGGAATGTCTACATGTGCTTCACTGAAATGCACTAAGTTATTCCACTACAGAGCTTTTGTTTCCAAGTAAGTATGGGCACTCACTTCAATGTTTTCTTTTAAGACAGCTAGTAGCTTCCTTCAATCAAGTTCATATTTTCTGGTGGTCCAGGTCTCAGTACTCTTTACCACACATGAAGCACCTTGCTGGCAATCTCAGCAGATGTTATTAGCAAACCTAAATCACAAGCCTGTTTTCCCTTAAAATGTGGCTAAACACAGCCATCTGTAATAGAGTTGATCATATTCAAGCAACAGTTCAGCTGCACCATTTACAGATAGGCACCAACACTTAAAGAGAATGTTGCATACAAAGTAGTTAAAACTTTTGACTTCATCCTTTGAAAGGGTGTCATGGCATTTGCCAACCCTGACTATGAACAAATGTCCGAATGCATTTCAAGACCAATTGTTAGGAGAGTGCCAAATAGGTAAAGGCTGTTTTGAGCTTAGAAAACAGGGGGAGAATATGCCACGTCTTAAAAAGGGGGACATTCTGAATAGCAACTGTATCTGTGCATTACAAATGGATTCACAAATAAAGATTACAAGAAAAAGTGAGTTTTATTGTCTATGGGTAATATCTGAGCCAAATTAATATCATATGTATTTACACCTTAATGAATAGCCCAAGAAGCCTCATCTTTTGGGAAGATTCTCATAGGCTTTCACATAATTTAGATCAGGATTGCTACAGAGAAAAAAAAAAATAACTCCAATGCTTATATAAAACATTTGGTCTTTTAGATAGTTGTAAATATAGTCAAGAAAAGATTTTCATTTAAATCTTAGTCTGTGTTAGAAATACTTTCAAATCAAAAGAATGTTTCAATTTGCAGGAAAAGGCAGCTTCTCACTAGTATCTAACATGCTTCTGAAAAAAACATCAATATTTACAAATGTTCACATCTAAATTAAGGGCATTTTGTTTCACTATTAACAGTGTGGTGGTAAATATGTTGCTGCTCTGGACAACAGCTTATCTTGGCATTAGTCTCATTCGTATCTAATAATACTGCAAATCTTGTGAGAAATGCCAGACTTTCTCAAAACAAACAGCTGGCCTGTAAAGACTGCCAAATTCTTGAAGTCTGTGAAATCAGTTTCAGTAAACATGGGATGTTCATTAGTAAAGAAAACTATACTATACTGTATTTTTAAAAATTTATTTGAAGCTAACAGAGAATTTACACTTAGTTTTCCCCCGAGACACTGCAATGCTTGGAGCCATTCATTTTATACAAATCAACTTTGCCTCACTCAGATGATGGTACATGTTCATTCCACTGCAATAGCCACTATTTCAAATGCTTATTTTTGACATGGCAATTTTCTTCTTGATGTTTATGCTTCTATGTGTTTTATTGTAGGAGAAATACAAAATATTTCAGTTAAGTCTTCAAATTGCTCCAGTTGAAGGAGAAAGCTTTCATCAAAAGAAGAATGGTCTAACTGACAGGTCAGCTTCAGAGTAAAGCCAAGCCTGAGAAACAACAATCCAGAATCTTTCCACAAACAGAAGAAATGAGCACTGAAAGACCTTTCAATCTAATCAAACACCTAGGGCAGACAAGTATTCCCTCCCTTGAAAATATAAGTGATTTTTCCTTAAATGTCACTGACTGTACGCAGGTCGTGGTGCCAGAGGAAGTTTTTTTCACTGTTGCTGCTGCTGGCATATTGGAAAATCTGCTTGTCCTTATTGCTGTCATCAGAAATAAGAATTTGCACTTGCCCATGTACTTCTTCATTTGTAGTTTAGCCATTTCAGACATGTTAGGTAGCTTGTACAAAACTCTGGAGAACATCTTTATCATCTTGTGCAAAATGGGGTACCTGACACGTCGTGGGGACTTTGAGAAAAAGCTGGATGATGCCATGGATTCTATGTTCATTCTGTCTTTACTGGGGTCAATTTTCAGCTTGTTAGCTATTGCAGCAGACAGATATATCACTATTTTCTATGCTTTGCGGTACCATAATATCATGACACTACAAAGGGCTTTGATCATCTTGGCAATCATTTGGACATTCTGTGCAGGCAGTAGCATTGCTATTGCCCTCTTCTCCTATGAAGCAGCTACAGTCATTCCCTTCACTATCCTGTTCCCTTTAATGATGTTTTTTATACTGTGCCTCTATGTCCATATGTTCCTCCTTGCTCGATCTCATGCTAAAAAGATTGCCTCACTGCCCACCAGTGCAGTCCATCAGAGAACTAACATGAAAGGAGCCATTACACTGACTATTTTCCTTGGAGTTTTCCTTTGCTGTTGGGCCCCCTTTGTTCTTCACATCCTTTTAGCAAGATTTTGCCCACATAATCCTTATTGTGCCTGCTACATGTCCATATTCCATGTGAATGGGACCCTCATAATGTGCAATGCGATCATTGACCCTATGATTTTTGCATTCCGAAGCCCAGAATTACGGAGCACGTTTAGGAAGATGTTCTGCTGTGCCAGGTATAACTGGAACTGGTAGACACTAAACAAAAGTAACAATTACAAAAGCACACACATTGTGGTGTTGTGCAATGCAAATTCACAGTTAAAAATACTAAAAGTAATGCCCAAAGTAATATTATGCTTGTAGAATGCTGCCAGTGATTTCAAGAGGTCTACTGAAGAATACGTATAAGCTAAGTATGCACATAAGTCTTTGCTAACCAAACACCCAGAAATATTACTAATTAAGTTAATTCTGCTCATAATTTTCATGCAATATTCTAAAAGTAACTGCAACAATTATCTTTTATCATTTCAGAAAAACTCAAATATAAATCTTTGGCAGCAAGTATTTTGTCACCCAAGAGATTAATTTATGCCGACTAATTTTGTATCAGTAATTTCAATTTCAGGTGCATACTACTTTAAATTTTGTTGTTTAAATCACAAATAAATGAATACTTGTTTCTGAATTTCATGTTTATATAAAAGTCTATGATAAAGCAGAAAATATGGACATGCATATGAACTTTGCTGGTAAAGTGAACTCATTACTTTGTTCTTTAACATCTACTCTCCTTAAAATCATGCAATTAGTATGCTCTAAGTGTCAAAAAAAAAAAAATTGGAATGTGAGTCCATGTGAAGTTATTTTGGTTTAAAAGTTATTCTTAGTGACTGAAGAGTTTTTTCCAACATGAAGTCGTTCTGGTAGAAAAGAATTTTGAAAAGGTTTTGAATTTTAAAACACCAAAGCCAGGTCTGGACTAGCAAAGAGAATTGCTGGCCATGTCAGCTCTCCGTTAGAAGTCCCTGGGCCAGCTTCCTTTAATAAAATAATAGGTTTCACAGACAGAGAAAGAACTTTGATAAAGCCATAATTTTCTAAACATGCCACAACAAGGAATTCCAAAATAAAGTACCAGACAGACAATTCAAAGACCTCCAAGGAAGTCAGCCACCTGGATGAGGAACCAGCTAGCCAGTCTGGAAGGATGCTACAAAACAGTTTGTAATTTACAAAATCCTAGTGAGAAAATTTTGAATTGTCCTTGCCAAAATAATACTAAACTTGCAAAACTGTAAGGCAGAATAACTTTCACAGCAAAATATCCTAAAGCAGTTCAGAGCATATGGTGGGGAATTAACCTCAGATTAATTCTGTACAGTTATTCAGCTGTGCCAGAGACAGAATATTTAGTAAGAGACAGCCATGAAACTGAGGAAGTCAAAGTATGGCTTGAACAAGAAGGAGAGGAAAAGAGAAAATCTATTAGAATTCATAGATAAATAGAATTTGCTCTTCTGATACACTAATAAAAACAGTAATTTCAAGATACGTGGAATATGGATCAAAGTACAAGTAGTCAGGGGGGCTTAGGCTCCCAGATAAAGATGTAAGAAAGGAACCAATGTACCTGAAAGCCTCTCCAGAACTAAGCAAAGAAAATATCTTAAATGAGAGAAGGGATACCAAAATGAAAATTTTTTAAACCTATATGCTTATTACAGAAAATCATTTGTTGATAAAATGCAAGTTCAGAAAGAAGTTCAAATATAGTCAAATTTTATTCTAATAAGAAATTATTCTTTCCATCAAAAGCAGAAAAAATATGTATCTGCACAGCAACAAACGACTGTTAGAACTAAAAATAACAATAATAATAATTATACAACATTAGAGACTAGCAAAATAGAAGACTTAACAGTACCACAATACCTTGTGTACACAACTGATGAACTTCACAATAATAAAAAGTATTAGAAAGAAAATAATGATTCAGGCAGACCTTACGTTAAATCTGCAACACATGAAATACCTACAAAATGCACTTCCCAGTCAGTCCCAGGCCCTGTCCAGCAACCCTCAAACTGCTCACCAACCAGCTGGGCTCACTTCTTGACCTAAGAGCCTAAGGGCATCTAAGATACATAAAACTTTAAGATACAAAATCAGTCCTACAAGCACACCTTTCATCCCATTCCTCTTGGCTGTATTTCAAGGGCTGAGCAAACTGGCCTCCAGTAGCCCAGAACCTGTTTGCCCCTTGCCAAGCTGTCCCATCCTTCACAGTGCCATCTCCAAGCCTCCAGCTATTTTTATCCTGCAGAACATGGGCTAGAAAGTACATGAGCTCTCAACATGTGTCCTGCCTGAAAAATATCTTTTGCTGTCCTTTCTGCCCTATGCATCTTCTCTTAGTAATACAAAAGACAGAACAGTAATGGCCTTGCATTTCAGAAACGCCAGTGAGTGGTCCAAAGAAAAATAGATTGTTATCTTTTGGGACACACAGACGTAGGTTATGGCCCAGTGAGACATTTTTTTACCATCCAGCTTGTTATAATAAGGAGTCAGAAGTATTTCTGAAGTTAGTAGCATTGGACCTCAGATTGCCATACTTTGCCAGCATGTGGTGTAAATGCCTGAAGTAACTAGGAAATAAAACTAACATTCACACTTTTAAGGAAAAGGTACAGCATTGAAGAGGCTTTCAGGGTAGGGCATAACTGCATTACCTGAGCATTCCCTAGGCTCCCAACCTTAGATGCTATCGCGCTGGGGAAACTTGGTGTGCTAGCTCTCAGGAACACCACGGAGCGTGGAGTGGAGTGGAGACACCACGACTAGGCTCTGTAATCAGGTGGGGCCTCAATTGTTCTTGTGCACAAAGCTGCACTTTTTGCCACCCTAAGCCAAAGACCTGTCATGTTTTGACAAATGCTGTACTCTAGTGTACTTTTTGCTCATTATAATATCATTATAATACCAAAACACACCTCCATCCCAAAAGCTACCCGCCTCCAAGGTGTGACCACCCCTCACCGAGCATGCGCTCTGAATTTCTCGGAGCCTATTACTTTAAACGGAGACGGGAAAACTTTACACCAATCATAACTAAGATAGGCTTGACTAGAGCCACTCAAGCTCCACCCAAAAGATAGAAAATAATATAAATTGGCCCAAGAGAGTGGGGATGTTAGGGAAGATACCATTGTCAGGGGAGATACCATCCCGAGGACATACAACATCCTTAGGACCTCCTGACTCCTGGGATCAGTCGACGGGCTGAGCCTCTCTTCCCCCCCCATTGGGACACCTTTGGGTGAGATCTGAATATTTGCTTATAAATCTCTATAGAGTCTTTGATCCTTTTAACGCGTTTATTCCTAGGCTGCGCACCTATAACATCTATAACACCTACAACACCTATAACACCTGTAACACCCGTAACACCTACAACACCTATAACACCTGTAACATCTGTAACACCTATAACACCTGTGTATTTCATGCATACTAGCTTGCTTTTGCAGATAGTCACTATCACCGGCAATCCAAAAGAACCTGATTATCTGTTGCTGTAATAAACCATACTTGATTGCATTGTGATAGCTCTCATTAATGCAACTAGGGTGAGGGTGGTTATCCGTGATAGTTCAGTGTTCTGAATCTAACCAGACCCCCAGACGGTTAATGCATTTTTGGTGAATGTCTGAGTGGACCCCCAGGCAGTTAATGTGTTTTTGGTGAATGTCCGACTGGTTCAGTACTCTGAATCCAACCGGCCCGTAACGGTTAATCAGCTACACCCCTTTAAAGCGACACAGCAACAAGTTTCCACCTGATGTGACTGGGAATTAGCTGCCTATTCCTTGTATCCTACCTGCGTTTGTTCATGCCATGATGCCCAAGCAACACCTAATGTTGTGGCTTAAGGTTATGTCTTCAAACTCGTTGTAGAGACCTGATGGCTGTTGCTGTTAAGCAGTGTGCCTAACACCCAGATAGCCAAAAAGATGAGGAGAAATGCTACAAAAGGGGATCTAAGACAAAACAGAGAGAAAACAGGCTTGTAAATTGTAAGAAAACTACACATTTTTCTTCATTGTTAATAAGTTCAAGACAAGAGAACTTACCACATTCTACATGTAACTATGTAAGAAATGCAGATCCTATGCATTTGCCATAAACTGAAATCTGTGGCAGAACATTAGATCTCAAGACGAGTCTAAAAATTACATAAAATAGTATATTTTATCCAAAAAAAATGTTAAAATTCAAAAAGCACGTGAGAATTTTCTCTCAGTTTGCACGAATTCTGTTGAAATAGAGCATTCATTTGAAAATATTTCTTTTCTGGGGAAGCAGTGTCAGAAAAAGCATAGTCTTGAATTAAAAAAATAAAATAAAAAATCCTTAGGTAGATTTTGCTTTTGAAGTCTATCAGTCCTTGTTGCATGTCAGCATATACATAAATCTCCATGTGTTACTTCCTAATTAGCTGTAAATTTGGCTTACATTTTAGCAGTTGAGCAGTCTCTAAGACAGTAGTTTCTCTGTTTCACATCTTGACATCTCTATATACATGTACTTCCCTGTGTAGGTCTTTGAACAGATTCTTTAAGCCAAGATTTGTGAAACCTTCATTGTATTGTACTGAAGTTGTTCTTTAAACTCTGATAATATTAATGTATAACAGTGAACACTTCTTAGGTTATGTGATTTTCTTTCATTTGCCCAGTGTTAATTTACAAGTATTTGGGAGCCAGAACTGTACCTTAACTTTGGGAGAAATAAATACATCTTGGACCCCACCAGAAACTGATAGGCCTAGAAGAAAAAAACTCTGGCGCTTCAAAGATCTTGTCACTTCAAATTGTAAGCAGTACTACAATCGATGTTTCATACAGAAGTGCCCAGAGAACTTCCTATGTCTGTTTTTTTTTTTTGTTGTCAGCAACAAAACTTTTCCTGGTCACTTACTGCAAAACCAGAAGCTCCTCCTCTGTTTCTGTTATTCTGTTTTGAACTGAACTTTATGTTCAGGAACAAAGTGAACAAATCTGATAAAGTCACCCAGGGGAATTAATTCCACTGAAGCAGTTGGTATGCCAGTGAGGGACAGACTTGCATAGCAGTTTAATTTTGTTCACAAAAGAGCAAAACAAATAGTTTAACAACTGTAAGAAAAATTCTGCTTTCTTGAATTATGATCCTGGGCAAGACTTTCAGAAAAAAATAGGCATCTTGAACTCTTATTATCAGAACATTATCTTATTTTTTCAAAAATATTTATATACTTGAAAAAGAAGTTTGTATTGAAGTGCAGAGTACTTCAGAGTGTTAACAATATTTAATTATAATATTTGTTTATAATAAGAGTTACAAGGCCAATGTTAGCTTTCTCTTTTTAAAATCCCAAGCAAGAAACTTCACAATCAGTCAGCTAGAATTATGATTGTGTTCACAACCTTCCTAACTTAGTTGGTCTTTTGGATTTTTTTTAGCTTTGTAGGCTTGGAAATATCTATTTCAGTACTACACACCTACATTTCAAACTAATGCTTTCTTAAAACGTCGCTTTGAGTCAGTTTGAGCTAAACTCTTCAAACAATACACCTATTCAAACAATTTAGTCCCTAAGGAGGCATATTTCATTCTGTCAAGGTAATTACAGCAGATAGCCATCTATTAAGACATTATATGTTCATCATTCAATAGCACTTTGATACAGCTTTGATACAACTTTTGATACAGCTTTGTTTGAAGTGTCACTTCTACAGAAGATGCAATGCCATTGTGAACTTCTGATTCAAAGAGGATGATTTACGATATAATTCTGGAGAAATGAGCAGGACTATTTAAAAAAAAAAAAAAAAAACTTTTCATATCCACTTGAAAGTAGCTTTCTTACGCTTGAAATTCCCCTCAAATTACTGCTATAACACAAAGATCATATTTTTGAACTGTCACCCAGAGTCTAATGACTATTAGCTTGCAAGTAAATCTGGCTAAACCAGTTGGAGTACAAGTGTCTAGTGAGTAATAACAATTATCTATTTCTTTCCATAGCTATTTATATATAAAGACCATGAGATGGTTTTGTCACACCACTTTGAATTGCTTCAGCAGCACCTTCACACTATCATTTATTACAACTTAAGCCCTTCAAATGTTCTTCCAAAACCTCGTATGAACTATCTCAATAAAAAAATAAATAAATAAAATAGATAGAAATAAAAAGAGCTACTCAGAAACCACTTGTTAACAGGAGGAGTTACTCTACCGGCAACTTTACATCCACTGACACCCTGACTGAAGTTGGAGCAGACAGAGAACCTGGCCTGGGCAGATACTTGTATTGACAATT